TGAGGAAGCGACACATAAACTTCCTAGAACTCCTGGCTATGCAACACGCTGTCACCAGCTTCCTACCCTTAATCAAGGGAAAATGTATCACGGTCCTCACAGACAACACCACGGTGCTCTCTTATGTCAACAGACAGGGAGGCACTGTTTCCCTACGCCTCTGCAACCTTGCCATCCAGTTGTGGGAGCTTTGCATAGCCAACAACATTTTCCTCATGGCCACTCACATTCCCGGACACATGAACGTGCAGGCAGACCATCTAAGTTGAGCAAGACTCAGCCTTCACAAGTGGGGGATGAACCCAACATACCTCCTCCCACTCTTCCACAAGTGGGGAGTTCCCCAAGTCGATGTCTTTGCCACAAGAAACAACAAACAGTGCCCTCTGTTCTGCAGTCGAGGAGGCAGGGACCCACAGTCTCTGGGAGACGGTCTCCTTTATCCTTGGTCCACAGGACTTCTTTACCTGTTTCCCTCCCTTACCTCTGCTTCTGAGAGTGATCCGCAAAATACTCAGAGACGCCGTGGACGGCATCTTAATAGCCCCATGGTGGCCGAGACAACCTTGGTTTTCAACAGTTCTCGAGTTATCAGAAGGGAAATACCATCAATTTCCTCCGTCTCAGGACCTCCTCCTCCTCCCCTACTCCCCTCTCCTACATCACGACATACCACAATTGAAACTGACGGCATGGAGAATATCGGCTTCTCTGCCCGCGTAGCGAACGTTCTTTTGAATTCCAGGAAACCTATTATGCGGAGGTCCTACAAATATAAGTGGCGAAGGTTCTGTTCTTCCCTAGGTGATGACGCCCCTCGAGCCACCTCAGTGGGGCTCGAACGAGTTTTCCAATTCCTCCTCTCCCTAGCTAACTCAGGACTTTCCCATTCATCGTTGAGAGTTTATTTGGCCGCTCTTTCAGCCTACCATGTTCCAGTTGACGGATGTACTTTGTTTTCACATCCAATTTCAAAACGTTTTTTAAAAGGTTTATTGCGTCTCTACCCTCCTGTAAAAACTCCAGTCACTCCCTGGGACCTTCCTCTAGTTCTCCGCCAGCTCACGAGAAAGCCCTTTGAGCCGCTCGCGACATGCGACCTCAAACTTCTAGCATGGAAAACGGCCTTTTTAATTGCTGTCACCTCAGCTAGACGAGTGGGAGAAATATTGGCTTTCCGGCACGATACACCTTACCTGTCGTTTTTGCCAGACGGAGTCCCCCTCGTCCCGGACATCTCCTTCCTGCCGAAGGTGGTGTCAGAGTTCCACCTGCAGGCAGAGGTCTTCCTCCCTGATTTTTTCCCTAATCCGACATCAGCGGAAGACAAACTATTACACACTTTAGATGTGAAGTGGGCTCTCCTGTTCTACCTCAATAGAACACACCCAACTAGACGAGACTCACAACTGTTTGTCTCTTACGCATCAGCACGGCTTGGCACTCGCATCACGGCTCATCGCCTGTCAAAGTGGATTGTGGGTCTCATCCGTCTGTGTTACCAGATCGCCAAACAGCCATTGCCTGGCCCTATCAAGGCTCATTCTACCAGGGCTGTCGCGACTTCTACTGCCTTCCTCCAGGGAGTGCCACTGACGGACATTTGCAAAGCCGCTACGTGGGCCACGCCTAACACCTTCATCAGGCACTGTGCCCTAGACGTCCGTACGAACACCAATACCAACATGGGACGTCAATTCTATCTTTGGCTACGCAGTAAAGGGCCTGCCAGCACCCTCCTCCAGGTAGACTACTGCTCGCTAATCTCCCATGGGTGTGAAGCACAGAGACCACGTCAAAGAGAAACAGGTTGCTTACCTGTAACTGGTGATCTTCGAGTAGTCATCTGTGCATTCACACCACCCGCCCTCTTTCCCCGCTGCTGTCAGCTTCTACATTTTTCATAAGGGTTGATTTGTGGCGGTTTGAAGGAACTGGCGGGATGTCCGCGTGCACCCCTCTGGGCATGCGTGGTGGGGTTCCTGCACATGCCTGAGGTCTGGGCGCAATTTCAAGTTTTATGCTTTTCATTTTTCCTACAATTCATGTGTTTTTGAAAATTGATTAGCAGTGTGTGGGGGGGTGGGGTGTGTGCAAATAGTTAGCCTGGAACTAACTATTGGGCACCGACCAATAGTTGGGCACCTGGCTATAGAAACCATATAACACTAGTTTTGGTCCTATTGCTTTAGCTGAGCCCCAAAAAAAAGCCAATTCCCCCCCCCCCGGCTTTTATTCAGATGTACTCAGCTCTTCATGAGCCAGTCCCAACTGAAGCAGCACAGAGCTGAGAGCTGTTTAAGTGAAGCTGCAAGAGGAAACAGCCCAGGATCGGCCAGGGCAGCAAGAGCTGACAGCTCCATGCTGCCTTGACTGAGACTGACTGACTTCTATTGCAGCTCAGTTTAAACAGTGCTGCAAGAGTAGCCTGCCCTGGATTGGCTGGGGCCAGCAGGAGCTCAGAGCTCTGTGGTGCCTTGGCTAGGGCTGGCTCCTTTTGCAGCTCAGTTTCAACTGAGCTGCAAGAGGAGCCAGGCAGCCCAAGCCGAGGTAAGATGGAGCTTTGAGCTTCTGCCACTGCAGCTGATCCTGGGCTGGTGAGTTCACCTGCGAGGTGTTTTAAAGGGACTGCAAGTTCTTTAAACGTCTTCGGCATTCTTGAAGCCAGAGTCTCACAGCTTGGAGAAGGCATTCAAAGGAACCACAAGCCCTTTAAATGCCTTTTTTCTTCCATTGGGTTTCAATGGTTGGAGCTAAGTTGGGTCAGAGCTAAGCCTGAGTCGGAGCTAAGCTAGGCGACATCGTGGTCGAGTCGATTCCAGGGAGGTCTTGAAGGGCACCCCCCCCCCCCC